AATTTATTCAAATGGAATTTTGTTCTAATTATTTATTTATATTTTTTAGTTATCAAACATCAATTCAATCTGAATTAGCTACAGAATGATTTTTCAATGATTTACATAAAGACTTAAATCATGAAAATTTCTATCCACTTTTTTCCATACATCCAATACTTGAACATTTCCATGATGCATCAAAAGCAATAGCAAAACTTAGAAAATTTCAATTTTTTACTCCCATCTATATATCAAGTAGTTTGTACATAATAGACTTTACGTATGAAACTGTAACACTAAGGATATAACATAGCATTGTAAAAGGCATTTTCTTTTTGTTTTTTTATTAAACGCCTCCGAAGAAGCAGCAAAAATTGCAGCATTCGGCACAAGGCCAAATGTGCGGGATATTGGGTATTAGTTTTCAACTAGCAATAACCTCTCCTCGCGAAACGCTCATTGGATAAGGTACTGCCGCTGCGCAAAGATAACATTTGTATGAATTTATCGATGCTTATAAGCAAAACTTCATGCAAAACAAAATCGGTGAATGCATAGCAGACAACATAATAAGTCATAGATTGCGAAAGAACGAACAAGAAAAAAACATACGTCACATTTTCTTTTTTCTGCAATAACTAGTCAAATACTTCTTAAAATAAAATGGTGGATGTGAGAACAACGAAGGTTTCTTATCATTAATTCCTTAAAACTACTTGTTAATAGAATGAAACGACAAATATTCATACCTAGCACTCAAGACATCGAAAAACATTATGACAACGTTGAACAATATTTTCATAAAAGAATTCTTTTACTGTCTCGTATCAGAACGTATAATAATTATTTTATTAGTATTTTTATTCTTCATCACTCAACAAAAGATCTGGGTCCGTTTTGAACCAAAAGAAATTTAGTATCAGTCTCCATTCCTCGCTGTTTTGGAACTATACTGCCCGTATTTATGTAGTAATGATCGATATTATACATATAAAATAATCTGCCTAATGAAATAGATAAATATTAAATTCAATTCACTTAATTCATTTTCACAGCAAACAATATCTGTAAAAAAAAAAATATTCGACTTTTCTAACTAGATATATAGTTGTATTGTTTTTAGTTTTTTAATAATTATATTAAATATATCAAAAAAAAATCGTTCAGCACGTTAAAAAATTGAGTTATTATTGTCTCATCGAAAAAAAATCGATATATTATTGTTGTCAACCTTTTCTATATGAAATAATGTTACAAAATCAACTTCTGATTTCAATTCATAATCAATATGTCAGTGTTTAGTATATTTTGTTTCATACTTCCATAAAATATAAAAATTACAACGAATATTCATTGTTGTGAATGTCGATAATATTAACCATCGTTTTATATATTTTGATATTTAATAGATTAGTCAATCGAATTTTCACTCGTAATCTTTATGCATTATAAAAACTTGCTATAATAACTTATGATCATGGTTTTATTCTATTATCATTTTTGATCATGTTTCTTGTAATACAAATGCCAGTCTTTTCCACTTCAGATGTTTGTCACTTGAATATTTCAATTTATTTTAATTTTAAGTTAAAATGAGAATAATTTATAAAAAAATCGACAAAATTATCTTTCAAATTAGAAAATTAAATAGAATTTTGTTATAATTATTTATTTACAAAGCAGCAAATTTTATCTAAATTAGCTACAGAATGATTTAAATAAACACTTAAATCATAAAAATTTCTATCCACTTTTTTCTATACATCCAACACTTGAACATTTCAATAATGCATCAAAAGTAATAACAAAACTTAGAAAATTTTAATTTTTTACTTCATCAATATCAAGTAGTTTGTACACAACTATAAATTTATTTATCAACATAAAACAAATAGAAAATTAAATAAACATCATTACATGATTATTCTAATTAACGATAATATGGCATTTTGTTGTAGAAAGCATTTTCTTACAAAATGATAATTTTCTTTTTGTTTTTTTTATTAAACGCCTCCGAAGAAGCAGCAAAAATTGCAGCATTCGACACAAGGCCAAATGTGCGGGATATTGGGTTTTAGTTTTCAACTAGCAATAACCTCTCCTCGCGAAACGCTCATTGGATAAGGTACTGCCGCTGCGCAAAGATAACATTTCTATGAATTTATCAATGCTTATAAATATAAATTCATGCAAAACAAAATCGGTGAATGTGTAGCAGACAAACTAGTGAATCATACGTTGCGAAAGAACGAACAGGAAAGAAAGAAATAGCAAGATGGACGACATTTTCTTTTTTCTCTTTTTTATCCTCCTCGACAAAAAAACAACATGGTATTTCACTGGGTATTTTATGCAATATAATTCGATGTTGTTGTTCTATTTTTTTTGTAATTTTTTTTTTTTAAATAAAATATAAGAAATGCTGTGAATGAGAAAAATATTAAAAAAAAAGTATTTGTTTTTGGTGGTTAATATATATTTATATTATAAAAAACACATATAATCAATATACGTCGTCAATGATATGTTCTTGTTAATATTCGTAAGTGAAAAAATCATCTGCTTGTGATACAAATAGATTAAATGTTTTGTACACGAAAATAATTTTTGTTGAAATTGTTTTTAACATAAGAGAAAACAATGACAAATTTATTAATCAATCAAGATCATGTTTGCTTTTCTTTTTTTTTTTGGTTTCACTTATTTTTAGTTTATATTTGCTTTATGAATATTTCTAGCATGGATATAATTGTAATTGATTGTTTTTGTTTTGAATTAAGTACCCTAATGAATTTTTGCCTATTATTTATTTGTTTGTTTATGTAATATAAAAAATGCCAAAAAAATTTTAATAAGTATTTCCGATCGATTAGGACCGAAATTTTTTTTTGTAATTTGACTGTTATGATCAAAGTTAGAACCTTGATTTATATATATCACCTTGTGGTTTTACATAGAAAGGAGTTCACTTGTAGTATCATTTAAATAATAGCTACAACTTATGTATTGTTTTAGTAGACTGTCTGTTCTACAAAATGAATAACTCTAAACATGTTCGATAAGAAAATTTATAGATTAAACAAAAATTTATTGGCTTAACATTAAAAATAATTTTTCAGTTCTTGCAAAAAAATCCTTCATGACTCTTCAAGAAAAATATTTCGAAGCTCATATTCAAAATTCTGATTGTCACCTATAGTTTTTTAGACTCGTCTGAAATGTTTTGAAGCTTTTTTTTTTATTTTGCATGTCACTGTATTCAGAAACACGAAAAAATGTTGATCTTGTTTTCCTTTGTTTTAGTAGATATGCTATTGAACGTTCTACTCGAACCACAAGAACAAATCTTTATAGGTTTTTTTCGAAATTTTAATAAACTCCTTACATTAAGTACATGTGTGTCATTGTGCTAGTTCTTACAAGAAAAAATTAATTTTGTGATTGAAACCTAATTACAAGATTATTACTGATTTCTTCTCAATTTATTTTCATCATCTTTAGTCGGAACTAAATTCTCTTTGTAGTATTTTATTAAGTTGAGAAAGTTTAATCTATAGGTTTCTACATTGACTCTACTATCTTTTAGATAATGTATTTGAGAGTAACATAATATTCATCTTATTAAAAAGAAAAGATTAACGCTTTATCATGTTATTGAACTGAGTTACATGCAAAACTTTTGCTAAATGCAAAGAGGAGAACACGAGCTCTATTATTTTTAACATTTTTCTTTTCAAATACCACATTCAAATAAGCGTCGAACACCGAAAATCTTTCAGAAATCGTTTCTCGAAAAAATCAAAAATATCTCTCATGAAACTTTAAAATATTTACTATTGTATAAATTGTCCGACAGTTTTTTTTTGGATGTGATATTTGAAATGAAAAATAATCAAGAGTTTAGATAAACATCTTGTGTGTCATAAAATAGAAAAAAAAAATTTTGTCTGTTATTCAGGTGTCGTCAAATCGAAATTTCAGCAAGATTTATTTATGCAGTTCTTTTTTTTGTCACAGTTTGATAGAGCTGAACGATTTTTTTTCAAATACAAGTACATATTCATAGTTAAAGTTAGCGAAAAAATCTGCATCAAAAATGATACTCAATATTTAATACTAACTTTGAATTTCGAAGAATTACAGACTGGATGAATTAGATTAATTCTCTTTTGTTTTTCTTTCTATGAATTCGTCTAAATAAAAAGTAAGCACTTTAAAAAATACGATTCGTATTTACCGATCAATAGGCGCAGACGATATCAGTGAAAAAGCACTGAATTATTGTTTGTTTAAATCATGTCTATAAATGTTTGCAATCCACTGATAGATTGAAGGAGGATGAGAATAGCTTAGGAGTGTCCCTTTCCATTCTTCTCGAACAATATGTATGTTGTCTCATTTTTATTTGCCTTTCTTGCTGTGTTCTCTTTGTGTCGTACTTAATTTATTATTTTTGCGCTCGCTATTTTATTTTATTGACACTAGAGGAAAATTATATAATGAGTTGTAGTTGTTTGTCTGGAAGTCTATGAATTGGAGAGTCGTATTTTGGCATAAGTACTCATTTTGTTCGGCTTGAATCACATGAATATTATAGGTACTTATATAGTCTACATCTCTATATTATATGTAATTGCCACTGTCTGTAATACAAATCATCGAACTTGGCACATAGCTAGGTATCGCATCATCCCTTTCCACTCAAACATCTTTGCGGATGAACGAGCAAATCGGCTATAGTAAATTTATTTGTTGAATAATTGAACTTTCCTAACCATGACGGACGTTTGTATACGATCAAAGACCGTACATAAATAATAGTTCATTATATTATAGAAATTACTTTCGTATCACAATTTCTTTTGCAATTATCAATAACAGCTACAGCGTGTTTCACATCTTTAGTTTCACAGGCATTGTCCTAACAACTTACTAAATAATAGATATTTAAAATTATTTGATATCAGTTGTAAACTCATGCAAAGAAAATCTGTTTTTTTTAGATAAATTAAAGTAAAATGACAACATCAAACAAAAATATCAAGGTGACAATTACACCAAGTTCAGATACAGATGTTGTTATATCAGCTCGATCTTATCAAGTAGAATCTTTTAGTATTATTATTATTATTTTTTTGTCTTATATTAATTTAATTTCTATTTAGACGGAATTAATGGAACAAGCAAAATTAGAAAATTTAATTGTATGTCTTCCAACTGGAAGTGGAAAAACTTATATTGCTGTAATGCTTATTAAAGAAATGTCATATTCTATTCGTGAAAGTGTTAAAAAAGGTGGAAAACGAACTGTATTTCTTGTTAAAACTGGTAAATTAAATTTTATTATTATTATTATTATAATTTAAAGTATCTGGTTTTTTTTTGTGTTTATCTTAAAAGTTCAACTTGTTGATCAACAAAGTGATTATATTCGTACTCATACAAATTTTAGAGTTGGAAAATATTGTGGTGAATTAGGAGTTGATTTATGGGATAAAGAAAAATGGGAAGATGAATTTGAAAAAAATCAAGTATTAGTATTTACTGCTCAAGTTTTTCTTAATTTAATTGATCATAATTATTTTTGTAAGATAAAAATGAATGAAATTTATTTTTTAATAATAAAAACAAAAAGTTTTGTATTTATTTTTAGCATTAAAACATATTAATTTAATTATATTTGATGAATGTCATCATGCATCCGGTGATAATCAATATGCTGCATTAATGAATAAACATTATGATAATTGTCCTGATCCACCACGTGTACTTGGTTTAACAGCATCAATTAGTAGTAAAAAAATTAAACCTAAAGATTTATTAGATAATGCAAAAGAATTGGAAAAAACTTATCGGTAATTTAAGTAGATTTCTTTCTTTTTTTTTCTATTTTGTAAATAATTATTTAAGTATTTTTGAATTATGTGAGCAATTATGAAAGCATTCTATGATCGAAATATTTCTGAAAGTTGTTGAGTTTCTTTTACGAGTTCTGTAGTTAGAGTTGTAAAGCGATGCATTGATCGGCAATGATTGCTGCAAGTTGTCAATTTGATTTAGAAAAGTTTTGAACGATGATGTCAAAACTTACTGATAAGAAAACTGATTTTGAGATTCTGAAAATTTCTATTTTTGTGTTGTTATGGTGGTACAGTCGTCCGGGTCACATCTCTATCTGTATCCCGTGAGTTTTTGACACATTTCATTGTATGTAGATCTGATATAGATAATGTTGAAATCGTTTCTACTAATTAATTGAAATTGATTGTAGTCAAGACCGAACCTGAAATTTTGGGTTTAGTACATAGATTTATATTAAAATAAATGAATGTATTTAGAGCTCGAATTGAAAGTGGTTCAAGTCGAAGTGAAAGTATTCAACATGGTACATCAGCTCACGTTGAATCAATCCTATATTCAAATTATCGTGATGAAATATTATCTAAAAATGAAAGTTTAACAATTCCATTTGAAGTAAGATAATAGTAATTTCTAACTGCACTTTAAGAAATATATAGATGAGTTATCAATACTTTTTTTTTTGTATAAATATCCACTGGTTTAATCTATTATCTTTCTCTACTGTAATGACAGAAACTTCGTCACATTTTATCTTTAATAAACTATACTATTCTGATTGTCTTTTATAGTAGTCTATATTTCTCTCAATTGTTTTAGTTGATATTTAGTTCTCTGCAAGAATATTCTAACTGTAAAACTTTTACCACATATAGTGTCGAATGTCAAAAAAAAAATCATCTTTTAATATAAACTTTGATTGTAATTTTACAATGAAATTTCCTAGATTTCATCAAATCGAATCCAAATGTCTTATTATTTGATTGATCTTTAGATTCTAAATTTTATGCGTAATACAATTGAAAGTTATATATCAAAAAGAAAAGATGAATATAAGAATATTGAACGAAATCTTAGTCATACAATGTTAACAACTGATTATCGTGGTAATAATATTGATATTTATAATCAACAATCATTTGATTATACAACATTTACTCAATCTCAATCGGTAGCAATCATACATATAAAACGTTTTATTGAAAATTTAATTGAAATTGGTTATGAACTTGGTCTATATGGTTTATTAATATTTGCAATAGAAATACGAAAAAAATTCAAATCAAATCCTATTTGTTTATCAATTACTGATTCATCAACTCGTGAAATGTTTGATGATATATTGCAACGTCTTGAATGTCTTATTGATGATATATTAAAAAATTTATGTCGATTAAATGAACATAATTATGAAATATTATTTAGTTCCAAAGTTCGTCTACTGCTTGAACGAATAATTAAACAACAAAATAAAAAAACTATATCTGGTCAATGTATTGTATTTGTTGAACGTGTATATACAGGGTGGTAAATAATATTATTCCAGGGGGGTAACACTATGATCTCGAATCGGAGATATCATGAATTTTATACCAAATGAAAGCTCGTGAAAAATGGGGTTTAGTGATAGTAAATAGTAAGACTTTGAAGAACTTTCTTGTATTAATTTATCAAACGTTACGATTTTTATCGACATAAAATATTATAAAATCAGTTCATCGAAAAAGTTCGGGGCTAAACTATATGTTGTACAACTGTTTATTTTCTTATTATTTATTGAGTACAATCAATAATCAGTATGACGACCATTAGCACTCTTTACTGCACGAAGTCGAGATGGATACGAACATAAAAGAGCTTCAAACAATTCGGTATTTTCTTCCATGTCCGTCAAAACATCCGCAATGTGCTTTTTAAGTGTGTCTTCACTATATCGATTATGTCCAGTTTCCGATAACATTTTTTGTTCAACTTCATCTTTCATTATTGATCCAATATGTTCCGCCGCATTGAGATCGGGCGAATTACCAGGCCAAATATCATTGCCCCAAAACTCGATTTTGTTATCTCTAATCAGATGTTGAGTCATGTTTGCTCGCATACACGGTGCTTTATCGTGAACAAATATCACATTATCCAGATCAATTACGTTTTCCTCGTCGGTGAGGAATGGAAATACGTGTTGCATTAAAATAATGTCACGAAAATATTGACCGGTCCAAGATTCACCTTTGTCTTTAATCACCCAATGCATTTTTTTCGCGGTGAAAATGATAAAAATACCGATACACGCTTGGTTTTTAACCATTTCGCGATACCTTTCATCGTCTTCAATATCTTCAACACTTTTTGCCCAAATCCTATCATTTTGATAATTTGGTTTGCGAACTGTCCAAACATAAAATTCATCTGATGGTGCCAGATGAAGAAAATCTTCTTCAGTCCAATCTTTCAACCAATCACAGAGCCATAATCGATCTGATATATGAGTTTCAGATTTTAACGGTCTTGAAATAACATGAAAAGGCTTTAATCCTTCCCTACGACGGTAGTTATTAACTGTTTGTCGAGTAACATATTCTTTTTGTTTCTTTGCAATCTCTTTCGCCACGACAGAACCGCTTTTCCGTTGGTGACCACTTGCTTCACGAATAATGTCCTGAGCAGCTCTCGATAACTTGAGTTTAGGACCAGCATTCGAATAATCAGCAAAACATTGGTCACACGATTTTTCCCACCATTCTGTAACAAATCGAGTCGTACGGTGAATTTTGTCGGCAATCCATTGTCTATTTATAAATGTTGCACCAGCATCACGAGCTTCTCGGAAAGTAATGCATTTAATTCTATCAATCATTCTTTGTTGTTCGGTATCATAAGCGCCAGCCATTTGAAATAACAAACGAAAAAACACTGAGATTTCACTCGACTATAACTTTCAGACAGTCCGAGAACGAAAAAATTTTTCAAATAACTAGTATCACGTGGAGAGAAGAACAGAACGCCAAAGAACCATCTTATTGTGTGAGTCATAGTCATATATCATCATCGTTATCATTTCTCTTTCGTTTTCATAAAAAATGTTCGTTTTCAATGTCTCAAAATGTATGAAAAATGATTTTTAACGTGTTTTTGAAAGAAAATTTCGTTGTTTTTAAAAATTTGGTACACGAAAGTTCTTCAAAGTCTTACTATTTACTATCACTAAACCCCATTTTTCACGGGCTTTCATTTGGTATAAAATTCATGATATCTCCGATTCGAGATCATACTGTTACCCCCCTGGAATAATATTATTTACCACCCTGTACAGCAACAATATTAAGTCGAGTTTTATCTCATCTTGCATTATCTCTTGAACCACCATTGAATACTCTATTGAAAATTAGTCATGTTACAGGAACAAAAACTATTTTTCCTGATAAAACAGTAACAACAAAATCACAAGTAAAAATTTTCATTTGATGAAAAGAAATGAACTTATAAATTTTACCAAATAATTTATCGTATTTTTTTGCGAAGGATTTCTGTATTCGATATTTAATCATTATTATAACAATATCTGAAGTTTTTCTTTTTTCATCGAATTTGTCCACTCTCTAAATTCATATTCTGAAGTATAAATTTTAATTACAAACTTAAAGTTGAAAAATCGTGTCTTATAGTTATAAAACCGTTTAAAATAGGTTTTGCAATACTAGGGATGTACCGAGACGGAGCCTCTCGGGCTCAGTCAGTCTCGGTCTCGGCTAGTCTCAGTCAGTCTCGATCTCGGTCAGCCTCGGTCTCGGCTAGTCTCGGTCAGTCTCGGTCTCG